CACCTTCTCTAACTTATCCGGGGAAAATTGAGTCGTTCCCAGGCCAGCCAAGAGATATAATCTCTCCAGGATGTCTTGGGTGTGCCCCAGAGCCTCCTCCTGGTGGGACATGCCCAGAACACCTCACCTAGGAGACACCCTATCCGATGCCCGAACAACCTCAACTGGCTCCTTTCGAGGAGCAGCAGCTCTACTCTGAGCCCCTGCCGGATGGCTGAGCTCCTCATTGTATCTCTAAGGGAGAGACCAGCCACCCTTCAGAGGAAGCTAATTTCTGCCGCTTGCTTCCGCAATCTTGACCTTGTGGTCACTAACCAGAGCTTGTGACCATAACTGAGGGTAGAGATATAGATCGACCTGTAAATCGAGAGCTTGGCTTTTTTACGATCAACTTTCTGTTGACCGATACAGCATCTGCAGTAGTTCAAACATGACGTACAAATGTGGGTTGCAGCAAAGATGTGAAGCAATATGTAATTTATGAACAAAACACACAAAGAAGCCGTGAGGCACCATTTTAACAATAAAAGCATGGATGTAATTAATGAGATTAACAGTGACTTTGTTCTATTAAAGAGTCTAGTAAGGCTCAGAGCGAACCTACACAATATTAGGAATCTGTGGTAGATAAATGGAATTCTGCCATTGCTCACTTTATTAATTGCATCTTATTTCTAGAATTCTTTGAAAGTGTCAATCCAAAAAGGTGTCATATATAAAGCCACAATATTTTTTAACTAAAGAAGCTAAAGTGTTCATATTATTCAAAGAAAAGAAGACCCAAATTCTATGTAAAAGTAAACATGTTGATGAAGAGGTATCACGTGAACCAACAGAAAGGCAGTCAGATGGAAAAGTAGTCACTGTAAAAGGATCACAAAGTTCACAACTCGCTGTTTGTTTACAGCCCAGAATTATTCATTTGCTGGCTAAATAATGTGGAAACTACAGGTCACCTGTACATTTGCACACGAGCATGTGTGTGTGGACAAAGAGAGCGTGCAGTGGCCACCGCTGATCACACAACACTACTGTTAAAAGTTTGATGTGTGTGTTGGTGTTGGAGAGTAAGCGAACGTGAGCGAGGAGTCAGGTTGTAGGACAGGAAGCCTTCCTTTTTTCAGTATAAGAAGAAAGCCAATACTTCAGACCTGGACACAACAACAGCAACTAATGCTGGTGACCTGTAAAAGACAGCTATACATTGTGATCAACCATTCATTGTACAGGTTTAACATTAAATAAACAAACAACAGGTCAAATAGACTGGAGTCCCCTGACTGTGCTGTAACACAATCTCATATTTAGTCTCTGAAACCAATGCTAAATAAAACCGGTATTCATTTACAATAGAAAACATGTAGAAAATGTACAATTTAAAGAAAAAATGGTAATTTTGAATTTGATGGCAACAAATATGTCAAAGTTAGCACTGTGTAGCATTTTTTAATAAACAATAGTCTAAGTCTGAGAGCTGAGGAAACAAGCTGCCGAACTTTTGTGAGAGGAACTTTGTCTGATTTGGGATTCTAGTGCTTTAACTGTCCAGGTTCTTCTTTGGTGTATTTTGTATTTCATGATGCACCAAATGGTGAAAGGTTTGGCCAATCAAGGGAACACAGACTTTTTTTTTCATATGAAGCCCTGCTGTTGTCATACACCAATCAGACATCATATTATGACCACCTGTCTAATATTGTATTTGTCCACCTTTTGCTGCCAAAACAGCCCTGACCCATGGAAGCATGGACTCCACTAGACCGCTGAAGGTTTGCTGGGGTATCTGGTACCAAGTCCGTACCAATAAAGTCCTTTAAGTCCTGTAAGTTGTGAATGTAGAGCCTCCATGGATTGGACTTGTTTTGTCCAGCACATCCCACCAATGGTTGATTGGACTGAGATCTGGGGAATTTGGAGGCTGAGTCAACATCTCAAACTCATTGTTGTGTCAGTTCCTGAACCATCTTTGCTTTGTGGCAGGGCACATTATCCTGCTGAAAGGGTCGCATCCATCAGGGAGTACCGTTAGTCTACGTGGTCTACGGCGTACGTGGTGCCAGGTGATGCCCAGGTAAGCGATGCAAACCCACCAAGTCATCCACGGGATGTAAAAGAAAACATTATTCATCAGATCAGGCCACTTTCTTCCATTCCTGTTGTTGTCTGTCGTTGTGACCATTGTTGCCACTTTCGGTGGTGGACAGGGGTCAGCATCGGTGCACCTTCATCTCATATGCGACAAACTGCGATGCACTGTGTACCTTTCTATCAGAACCATCATGAACTTTTTCTGCTATTTGTCTGTTCTGGACCACATGGGTCAGCCTTTGCTCCCCACATGCATCACTAACTTCGACCCCACATGATCCTGCACTGGATCAGCACTGTTAATTTCTTGCACCCCACAAGAGCTGCAGCTTTTGGAGATGCTAAAACCTGTACATACTGTTCAGCAACGATGGCGCCTTTCCAGATGTGCAAGCTGCACCCCCATACTATGAAATATGCAGCCTCTTGAACGGAGTGTTGACAATCAGGATGAACAATACAGTGCCTTTCCTGGTCTTGGGACATATGGCTTCTTCTTTGCATGATAGAGCTATAACCTGGGTTTGTGGATGAACTGTAATTTCTGAAAGTCTTCCTGATTTCTCCAGATTCTCAGAACCTTTTGATGTTATGTTTTCAAAAATGTTATATAGTGAACACCAACAGATGAGGAACAGAAGAAGAAAATTTTGTCTCCCTGTTATCTTGTAACATGCAGGAAATTTGTGACTTTTCCTGTTTTGGGCACCAAATTGAGATTTGCATAATTTGCAAGTCATAACTCCCTGCAGCCCTCCAGATACAGGCAGCAAACATATTCCAGGAGCATGTGTTTTAACTATGACAAAGTCATGTGAATTTGAAGCAATATCAGGGTTCTGCTGGCTAATCAAAACCAATTTATTAGCACAGTATTGAAAAGAACATTAACAGTGTTTCAGATTTGTGATGGTGAGTGAGTGACTGCAATGTCAAACGTGTTGAATATGCAAATATTTACCATGCCACTGCAGTCCTCCTCGATGCTTTGAATACTTATGTATTTTTCAGCTTGTACTGGTTTTACTTTCTGCCACTTTTTTTGTTTTTTTACACAGAGAAATGCGCACACTTTCACGGACAACACCAAACAGCAGAGGACAAGTTAGTGACCAGGCTGCAAAAGATTAAGGCTCATACCCCCTCATCAGCTAAACAGTAGCAATGGGACTACATATAGCACTGTGCAAAACTTTGGAGCTATCCCTCATTTCTTTATATTTTGCTGGGAAAATTGGAAACCTATTGGAAATACAGCACATCGCTCCATAAGACTTGTTGTCACCGATTTACAGTCCAGTTCTTGTGTAATTTGGGATCACTAAGCCTTTTCTCCTTGTTTCCCTTCATCAGGAAAGGTTTCCTCCCATTTTTAAGGACACACTGTCCCCCATGCTGCGATATACCAGGTTTTTTGCTAATAGCTCTTTGAGAATCACCACTTCTAACTAGGTTACTGTTGGTATTTTTCATAAATTCACTAACAAAATGGGAACAAATTGTGTATTTTGTGACAACCTGAAAAGTTGCTCAAAACCACTTTAAAAAATACAAAGTCTGGCTCTTTGGAAGCAAAATGCAACGAATGAGGGGTTGTTAAAGGCCCCTCTTCTGTGGAACCAGCTTCCAGTTTGGATTCGGGAGACAGACACTATCTCTACTTTTAAGATTAGGCTTAAAACTTTCCTTTTTGCTAAAGCATATAGTTAGGGCTGGAGCAGGTGAACCTGAATCCTCCCTTAGTTATGCTGCAATAGACGTAGGCTGCCGGGGATTCCCATGATGCATTGAGTTTTTCCTTTCCAGTCACCTTTCTCACTCACTATGTGTTAACAGACCTCTCTGCATTGAATCATATCTGTTATTAATCTCTGTCTCTCTTCCACAGCATGTCTTTATCCTGTTTTCCTTCTCTCACCCCAACCGGTCGCAGCAGATGGCCCCGCCCCTCCCTGAACCTGGTTCTGCCGGAGGTTTCTTCCTGTTAAAAGGGAGTTTTTCCTTCCCACTGTTGCCAAAGTGCTTGCTCATAAGGGGTCATATGATCGTTGGGGTTTTTCTCTGTATCTATGAAGCGCCTTGAGGCGGCTTTTGTTGTGATTTGGCGCTATATAAATAAAATTGAATTGAGTTAAAGACTTTTATACACCAATATATGATGAACATGCAAAAGGCGTTTTATTGAACTGAAAATGTTTTGAGATGTCGTAAAACTAAAAATTTAATGAAGGTACCCTTTTCTTTGGTCTTTTTTTTTTTTTTAAACCCCAAGCATCAAATTTAATTTTTTCTATCATCTAAAAGTTTGTGTTACTAACTGCACAAACGTCCTCATCACTTCTGTTGATTAGCTCACCGACTTTTAGTCTGTGTCCTCTTACAACACTGAGTGCAGGTTTTCCATTTCCTTTAACGCACCCAGGACACGCTCGGTATCTCCTGAGAAGAGCTGGAGGCGGCGGCTGGACAGAGAGTCTGGGCGTTACCTGAAAGTTGGCCCAAAATGCTGACACGGAAGTAATTTGATTGCATGTATATTTTCCATGTAATTTTGTCAAATGAAAAACACTAAATTTCATTAAATCTAATCAATTGGCAATTATTTGACATCAAAGAGGGCTTTGTATGACCCACAGTGCAAAATGAGTTCATCATCCCGAGCTAAAGTAACTTTAAAATACCTTAATATTGGCTTTTATCCATCAAAACTAAATGCACTACACAGTTTTTGCTCACATGTTGTTTTAATACCCAAATATCTTTGGTTAAAGGCCATCTTGTGTATTTTAGGTAAACTGGAACCCTTTAACTCAACCCATTTTCCTTTATTAACCAAAATATAAAATAATCATAATAAATGTCACGCCATATCAAAACAAATGAGCAGTAAAAATCACTCACAACGCGTGCAGTTCATCTAAATAAAAATCATTTAATTTTCATTAATATTAATATTATTATCATCGTCATCATCATCATCATCATTCTATCTAGAGAGAGTCCACCATGCCACTTTCAGATCTGGAGTAGTGCTAAGATGCCTGTCTGTCTGAAGGGGGAAGAGGGTGGGGAGGAAAAAACAGGAAGGAGACAGACGAGTTAGGGTCGGGGGCAGGACCTGTACAGGTTCACGCTCCTGTTCATTCTCCATGCTGATGCAAACAAAGAGGGGGGCGCTATAAAGGAGGGCTGGACAGAAAGAGGAGGAGGAGGGACTGAATTGTAGTTTGTCTTCACTGGCCAACATGAAACTGAGCTGTGAGGACAGAGACCAGCTGAGGGGGACAATGGGTGGAGGGGGTGGAGCAGCTTCAAGCTCACTGGTCAGGTCTGCTGGACAGGGAACCAGGACAAGCCAATCACAGACTGATACAGAGGAGGAGGGTTTATGTATACACGTCTGCATCTGTGTTTGTACATGTAGAGGTGTGCTTGCACTGATGTGTGTATCTGTGAGTGTGTAACTGGTCAGAGTTACTTTGATCCATTGTCACTGTACACTTGTCAAAGTCACTGTCACAACCGGGTACAAAGTTGAGGTAACAAACTTCTTTTTCCGCTTCTGTGAAGAGAGACAAAGAACGAGTGAGAGGAGTCGAATCAATTAAAGCAGCAACTCACGGACATTTTGCTTCCAGGCTTCTTTAAAGCAGAAGACACAGACATCATCAGGGAGTTATCGATGTATAACAAACATAAACACTGGTGTTGTGCTGATAATAAAGCCGTAACACGAGGATTTCATCGTTTGTAAAACCACACTGACAGCACGCTGCAGTTAGCTCATTCGTGACGGGCAGCTGTAGCGCCAATACCGGTCGCCTTCCACTTTCTGTTTCTGAGCAACAAGGAAATGAGGCACCTTCACGGAGCTTCACGATTGGCAGGCTTTATGAGGATGCCATTAGCTCACCGCATGCCAAATTAAATCACGATATGCTCATTATTGATAATCAACTTTGACTTTTTACACTTAAATTCAGTCTTGCAGACACCTGGATGAAACCTGACAATTAGGAGAATCTGAATTTTTGACTGAAACACTTTGTAAGACAATACCGATTCCTAATTAGTTACATATTTATCTGATTCTGAGGCCTACTACATGCCCTCAGGCCATCCTCCACCCCAAACGAGTTGCTTTAGTCCACCTTTTTCAGACACTGACATCACACAGAGCCAACCTGAGCCTTTCGCTCCTGGGGATTATCCTTGTGCAAACTCCTTGTTACCTCATTACTGAAGATTTTGGCCACGTTTAATGTGTGCATCCACCTTTTTCAGCTAATTTTGGATATGGCGGTAAAAGCACAGTGAGTTTATAAAGGGATTACTATTGCAAAAAAGTAATTAGATTACTGTTACTTTCCTGTAAGCACGTTGCGTTCCTAAACTGTGATTTTGTTTGTCTCATGACAATGACACGACAACGACAGCGTGCAACGTCCATGGCAACAACGAACACGTGTGTAGATCAACAATGGATAATATGGAGTGTGGTAAACAGTACAACCATGCAGCGTTTAAAGCTCGGAAATACTAACAATACTTTGAGTTTGATTCCGTAATAAGTGACAACATTAACATCCGCTGTACACTCTGCGTGGGAAAAAACTTCTTTCTACAGTGAAAAATTAAACTTAAAATCTGAGCACACATGAAAACTTCATCTGATTATTATTTGGACTTCTGTGTGTGCTTTCAACTCCTCACGGATGAGCTCTGATGATGTTCTTTAAGCCGTTACCTGTGTTTCATCGCGCTGTAGTGTTGCCACTGGAAACCATGTTGCTGTCAGAATTCGACAAAGACTGCTCCTTCACTACAGGGTCTGCAGGAGCGAGGGGAAAGGGAACCATGTTTAAAAACCAGAATATCTCTGAGAATAATAGATTTCCTTTTGATTTAGTCATTAAACCCAAAAAACCTACAGAAGTAGGGGTGCTCCATGGCCTCTGTGGCGGTCAGTCTCTGTTGGTGATCGTATCGTAGCAGCTTGTCCAGCAGGTCCAGAGCTTCGGGGCTCACCAAGTGCTGATTCTCCGTCTGCACAAACTGTTCCCAGCGCTTCCTGCTCTGCCTGCAGGCAAATGACGACAAACATGTTTCCATTTTTGGAGGCATGCTTCTGACTTGGTTCAAATCATAAAGAATAGAAGTTTCTCTGTACATGTGGGAGATTCTTCTTCTACAACAGCACCTTTCACTTATGGAGTGCCTCAAGGGTGCATCCTGGGCCCACTTCTTTTTTCATTGTATATGTTGCCTCTAAGTTTGACCTTTAGAAAACATAATTTTTCTTTCCACTGCTTTGCTAATAACATCCAGGCATATATCCTCATTCAATTGACAAGCAGATGCATGGGAGCATCAGTTCAGCTTTCTTAGCAACATTAAGTTCTGTGTGATGATAAATTTCTTATATCTTAATGAAAGAAAGCCCGAGGTTATTTGCTTTGGTAAATTTCACCCCTCAATCAACTCTTCTGACACGCCGAGTCATTCGGCTCGTTACTGTCATGCTGCTGTAATAAAAAAACAAACAAACCTGGGCATGATTTTTGATAAGTTTTTTTTTAAAATGGATCAACAAATAAGGACTGCCTCTATAATTTACTTTTATCAAATCAGAGTCACTGCCAAAGTAAAACCTTATCTCTTGCAAAATGACCTGGAAAAGGTTATTGATATTTTCAATCACTTCCCACCTGCACTACTGTAATTCCCTTTGGTATCGAACAGTCATCTTTGGTTGCAGTTAGTCCAGAATGCGGAAGCTTGCCTCTCTACTGGTATTAAAAAGCACAAACATCTCTTAATTGGTTCCCTTTCCGTTTTTGAATTGATTTTAAGATTTTATTGCTTACTTTTAAAGCTTTGAACATCACATTCATACACCTGTAAGTACTCTGAGGTCACCTACCCAGTTGCTCTTAGCACCAGGTCTATGGAATAATCCATCTCTCCATATCCGTACAGCTCAGATGGTACACACATTTAAATCTTTATTAACAAGACATTTATTCCTCTTGGCATTTGGATCAAGTGTAGCATCCTTATAGACAAATACATTTTATTTGTTTAATGTTTTGCTTTCATTTTATTTCCCTTGTTGTTTTATTTAATTTTATTGTCTTTTATGAGTTGATCGATTGTCTTTCTCTAGATTTTCATGTAATTTTTCTTGAGGCCGAGTGAACTTACTGTCCTAGGAGGTCCTTGAAGCGTGGGTCTAGCTCAATGTGGTATTTACGCAGGTAGCCGAAAAGCTCGTCTGTCCCCAGGACTTTGGCAATCCGCACCAGCTGGAAAAAACAACAGTGGAAGATCATACATGTCAGAGCAGACTTTTAACACCTTCCAAAACATTAAAAAATGTAACACACAAGCTTTAAGACAGTGGTTACCTCCATCTTTTAATATATAGTCTATGCTACCAAACTGTGGGAAACTCAGACCAATTACTGCATTTATTATGCCAAATTATGCTTCAGCGACAAACCCTGCCATTTATTGGTTTATAAGTTAGTGCCACATATGAAAACATCAGGACACTATCTCACTACATCGTCTATTAAACAGGTTACATTGTAGGCTCTACAAAGGTTCCCAACAGAAGTTAAGTTAGAATGAGCAACTGCACTGAAACCTTCTGGTAAAATGAGGACCCCTGGTGGTGAAAGGTTTAATTACATTTTACAAAAAGTAATTACAAAAAGTACCTTTAGCTGAGAAAAGGACACCACAAACAGCTGTGTGTTTGTGCCATGAGCCGAGGCAGACCCTCTGAGTTTTTTAACGCAAGTGTGCATGGAATCAGTTTTTAATGTTTACTCTTTTGTCTCATCTCGTATAAAAATTCGTGTGACAGGCACCTGATCGTAGTTGTCTTGTCCGTGGAAGAAGGGCTCTTTCTGAAAGATCATACTGGCCAGCATGCAGCCCAGGCTCCACATGTCTAGACTGTAATCATACATCTGGAACACACAATCATCAAACAGCACTGCAGATGAGGACAAAACAGACATCTCAATTATCTGCATGTGAGAAAACAGTGTGCGTGTTACCTGGTAGTCCACGAGGAGTTCAGGGCCTTTGAAGTATCGTGAGGCCACTCTGACGTTGTACTCCTGGGACGGGTGGTAAAACTCTGCCAAACCCCAATCTATAAGACGTAGCTAAAAAACACACACAGCAGAGACACATCCTGTTAATGCAATTTAAGGGTAAATTGGGTGAAGTCACATCTATATCAGCCTGCTGCCCCCTACTGGACATCTTACAGTCTGTTTTTCTTTTCTTGTAATAAAGATAAACCTGCAGTCTGAATTTCTTTCCACAGAGAACTTATTCTGCCCAGCATAGCCTCCACTGAGCTTCACTGTTCCCTGCAGAAACTCGTCCTTGAAGTGCCCTCCAGCTCACTGAACAAAATGTGGTCTGTTCAAACCAAATACTTCAAATTTTGACTCCCTGCTGCCATTTTTCTGCTCTCGAGCTTTGTGTGTGTAGCTGAGTTTGAGCACTTTGTTGCCAGTTCAGAGAAAAGGCTTTTTGGCTGCAAGTCCACACTCTGCTTGTTCCGAACATCTCCATGTTTCAAGGGGAAGTCGGCTTTTCGTCTGCTGCACGCAGATTTCTGCATTTCAGCTTCACATTGCTGCTCATTTCCTTGTGGCACCGCTGGAAATGCCTGTGTGCCTTTGAGACGTCTTACTGACAGAGGATGACATCCTTTGGATATTTTTGTTATGCTAACTGTTGGCAACATTTTTTGATGAATTTGATTTCTGTCACTTCTGCAGCAACCCATTTTTTTCCCCTTCTGTCATCAGATTTTATTCCCGCGACGCTGCTGTTTCTGAGTAAACTCAAGATCGCAGTTCGACCTACATAAGTTGCAACATTAAAAACCGAATTGTTTTCAATCAGGAAACAGGATCTGCTACTGCTTTCACACAAAGCACAAAAAAAACCATGATGTAAACAAATAAAACATGTAATTTCTTATCTGATATATAAATATTACTGGCTTTAAAATGAAAAATATCAAACTAGTCAATGATTCCTATTGTGAATACATTATTAGAAAGCGGGCTTTCTGGGGCATTAAATGTATTTAACTTCCCGGTGAAGGCTTGTTAATGCCAAATGTGTCAGAGTTAAATATGGCTTTGCTCTGAGCATACAGGACTTTTAATATTTTGATGACTTCATCAGTCTCGCTTTGGAGGAATTTTGGCCTTTTCTTCCGTTCAGTGTTGGTTCAATGCATTTGCAGGTATTTGTTTATGCATGGCTCTCTTAAGGTGCTGACACAGCATTTTAATCAGGTTGAGGTCTGGACTTTGACTGGACCACTGCAGCACCTGGATTCGTTTCTTTTTCAGCAATCCTGCTGTGCTCGAGATCATTATTCTATTCCAATTTGGGCCAAATTGACAAATCGCTTCACATTTTTCCCTCCCACTGTTGCCAAAGTGCATATGCGGTATTTGTCCTGATATGCTTGCTGTCTTTGGTTTTCACCAAATGTGCTGCTGTATGTTGTGACCAAGCATTTTCACTTCGATCTCATCTGTTCACATTCAACTTTACAGACCTAAACCATGCTGCGATGTTCTTGTTTTATAGAGAACATCCTTTCCTACAGTGGCCCTGAGACGTCAAATATACCGCGACTTAAGAAACCACCAGAAAATAGACAAACACTGCGAAAGCACACGAAACACAACAAAAGTTGAATTTAGCACAACAGAAGGTGTTTCTTGGGACACAATAACTTGACGGTCCAGCGGCAGAAGTGACAGAAACAACCGTGCTGTGAATGAGAAAAGATGCTAACCCTAACCCTTTGAATCACATATTCATATAATACTGTACATACATGTTTGCCATTAGCTGTTTACTGTTAGCATGCCACTTCCGCCACTGTTCTGTAACGTTATTTGGTCCCCAGAGGTTTGTGAGCTTTTACAATTTTTCTATTTGCTGGTGTCTTCTTATGTTGCAGTCTGTTTGACCTCTCAGGGCCACCGTACTCTCTCCTGGTAACACTTCCAAACAAGCCACACCTGATTCAATGTTTGTCTAATTGCGCTGTCATGAACTTTAACCTTTAATATGCTGACTGAGGCCTGTAGACTGAGATGTAGCCTGTGGGTTGCAGGTGCATTTATACACCCGAATGCTCCAGACCAGCACACTGCAAAAAATGTCTGTTTTAATAGAAGCGCTCCCATTTGCTGATGACCACTCAGGTGGATTCTGTTACTTATCCTCATAATTCATATAGAAGCAGTGAGGCGCACTTAGTTTTTCCCACAGGACTCATTTTAAGACTTGACTGTAGCATGCCCACAAAATTTGTCCAGGCAGACTTTAGACTGCTTCTTTCTTTACCATGTACATATTTTTATTACACTTTGCACAATCTCAGTCTTACTTTTTACTCTTCTTTAGTTTAACCACATTTTATCCCTGTTCCATCTATAAAGCTTTCGCACTCTCTCATTTTAAGGCCGTCACTATGCGCCTGTGGCACTTTTACTTTAACTACATTATTTAATTATTGAAAATTGTACTGTTTTTATTATTTATCCTGCTGCTTTTAAACAATTATTTCCCCTGTGGGATCAAAGTATCTATCTTCATGTATTTAAAATAATCTATAACCAGTGTGGCAGCGAGCTGCCTAACCTTAAGTCACTAAAGCTGTGAGCAGTTAAAGCAGACCAGTTTTTGATTTGTTGTGGTGTTTGTGCTGTGCTGATTAGTGGATTTCCTTTCTGTTAGTGTTGCTCACTCCTCACGCTGGAAGTGGAAGAGAGACGAGAGAGACGGAGTGCCTTTCTCGCTCTGGAGAAAGGCACTCGGGAGCAAGCGACTCTCGACAGAAAATAGATCCATAGTCCTTCACATACACGTAGGACTACATGCTGTCAGAAGTAACCGAGAGAGTTGGAAAGGTCTTGTTTTTTTTAAGTAACATCATAACCTATAAAAAGTGACCTGAGGCATCTGCAGACTGATGATCATAAACGCTTTAATTATCTGATTCTAATAGCTAATGAAAATGCACCAACAGTGTGCAGTGAGCCTGACATTTACGTAGATGGAAATTACATCTGTGTTTATTTTAAGGTTCTCATGCCTAATGCACTCGCGCAGGGACGCTGCGTATTTGAAAGCCCACGCTAATGCAATAACAACTGCTTTTCAAAATGGGAAAAAAAAGAAAAAAAAAAGAGAGATAACAAAAGATGGGAATGAAAAGCCGTGGTGAAAATAACCAGTGAGGGAGGGTGAGTGTGGGGGTGTGAGGGGAGAACAAAATAAGACTACACAGAGCACTGCCTACCTTTCTCAACTGGTGGTCGATCATCACATTGTGAGGTTTGACATCACGATGCATGATTCCCATACTGTGACAGTAGTCCAGAGCCTGACACACACACACATACACACCAACATAAAAAGGTATTAAAGTGCTTCTTTTTTTGGTAAACAGAACAGATTTTCAAGATAGCATTTCTAAACTCACTAGTTTTCTTTAGACAGCATTAATTATTTCTATAACAGAAATATTATAGACAATATTATTAGCCCCCTGAAAAACAGACCTTTTCATTAAGCCATAACAAAACACACTGCTGCGAAATGACGTCCTTTAAATTGGTAATACTCAAAGCTTGTAAAATTAGGTTAATCATCAAATTTGTAAACAGTTTAAAACTTTAATGACCTAAAGAAAGTTTATATATACTGCAGAGAGACACTGCTTATATTTGGAGGAAAAGCACCGTCCCCACAGCGGAGGTTGGCGAGTCTGGAACCGGGAATCTCGTCGAGGTGGAAGTAATCAAGAAAAGGAAGAAGGATCTGTGAAGATTTTCAAAGAAAACCTCAAGCAGTCAGGAGTGAAACTGGGTCTGGGTCATCGCTTTGTCTTCCTACACAACAGCAACCCAAAACATATGTAGCTCCTGATGAAAAACGAATTCTAGAAGACCAAAGTGACCGTTACTGACTGGCCTGCACAAAGTCCTGACTTGAAATCTGCGGGGTGAACTGAAGCCCAAGGGCCGTGCCAGAATACCATCAGAACTGGTCAGGAGACGAGGGGGCTAACAATACTGACACTGGTAGTTTTTGGTTTTTGTGAAATTATTTTGTTTCTGTAAAGTAGAATAATGTAAGCATCCAAAACAAAACTACGATGTTTGCTAAAGCTGAGATGTCTCACCTTCAGTAGTTCATACATATAGAAACGGATATCGTAATCTGTCAACTTCTGGTACAACTCCTGCAGGGGGAGAAAAATAACACAAATAAGCACTGAGGTTTGCTGCTCTTTCAGCCTTACTGATTGCAGCTATGAGAGACTTGGCACCGAGCAATGAAGGAAAGAGGCGAGGATTGTACCTTGAAGTCTGTGTTATTGATGCATTCAAAGACGAGTGCTGGCGTTCTGGACTATACAGCCACCACAGAGAGCATGAGAAGGGTGTGGAGAGAAATCAGGAGGAAAAACAAACAATTAACACCACAGAGAGAGAAATATATAAATCAGGAATACGCTTATTTCTGATTCAATCACCTGATAAACCAGTGATTTGGCAGCCCCCACCATGTGATTTCAACCCAAACGGGACGAACGATACAACCATTTGAATCATCCCTGATACTCAGCCGTGCAGTCAAAAAGCTGTGCATACAATGATCATTTTCTAACCCAATGAAGTTCACAGGAACAAACAGACAAAGGACCCCGCAGGGTTCCCACCGCTGCACTGGAACAAGGCCTCCTGGCTTAGTCAGAGCATTTCCACTGCCTAAAAATATCCTTCCTTCCTGGTCGGTTGATGTGTCCCAGCTCAGAAAAATTGTAAAAAGGAGATATCCAGTCTGGTCGTCGCGGTGGATTTCAGATTGAAAACACAGAATATAGAAACAAATAAGTGGTCAAATGATAAAACTCCTGTAACTTCTGTTGACTACAAAACAAAAATTAAAACGCCACAAATTTTAGGTCCGATGGGAAGCTGAGAGCCAAAACAATCACACGGTAATTACAGCAAAACTGGAATTATAAGATTACTTTGTTTCTCGTGCCGACACAGAGTCTATCATTTGCTAAAGACAACGATGTCGTAAGGGGCTTCCTGCAGTATTTGTCATGCGAACAAACAAATGCTCAGGTGAGCACACAATGGCACAATAAACCAGCGATCCAGGTGCTAAAAAGAAAAGTTGCAGTTCCTCAAATGGCCACTTGAGGCAAAAACAAAAGAGAAGCAATGATTTCACACAGCTGGCCGTGTTAAAATATCCAACTTTACAGCAGCAGGCAAACAAGCTTGCTATGACGATGGCCCTTTATGATGACTGCATGGAGGTTATTTAATTATTTTGTTTTATAACTCATAAGTTTTCATTAGACTGATGTACAGAATTTAGCATGATAGAGTTCCAGCTGAAGTGTAACTTCCCAGTTTTCAACTGCAATGCCCCTGAAGTAGGATTTCGAGTCAGAGCAGCGCATTTGTGACTCGCTAAATGAGCCGTACGCAGAGCATTGATCAGGCACTATCCGTGAATGTGCTGCAGCACCTTTTTAAGCACACAAAGAGCCCCGTGTTGTATTTCTACTGACGCACAAAGAGCTCGACCTCACTAAGGAGCAAAGCAAATCATGTTTTCCTTGATTTTCCAACTTCACTACTGGAATACAGTTTGAGAGTAAAGTCACTCCCAGCTCAACCATCCGTCTTCAGAGGCAAATGAAACGCCACAACAGCCTCGCTTTAGATCATTTTCGTCACCAAACTGAACGTCTTCACCTCGTCAGTGGTGCTAGTGCACTTATGAGGCGAAGCAAATCATCCTTTACATGCATTTCTGTGTGACGCAACCAGAAAACCTACAGTTGCATATTTCTAACCACAGCAGCTAGCATTTGCTTCCTTCTGGCTCAACGCCACCCCAAAAGAAAACAAAACAAGAGGGAACTGGCTGTAATAATAATAAAACAACAGTGTGAATACCTATGGAGCTGAAACATACTACAAAATCTTTTTGTACCATTAGGTTCACACTTCTCCACTCACCGACAGTCAGCAAATGCAATTCACCAAGAAGTGCAGCAATTTTCCAAACATACAATGGGAAGAACAACATGGCTGCCTTGGAAGTATTCAAGGTAAACACTGCAGCCTCTAAACTGACACCAACTTGTAGCTTAAAAGAAATGGTTCCAGTCAACCCGGTTTACTCATTTTAATCTGGGGGAAAGTAACAGTGAGAATGGCGCATCCCTTATTTGGCTGACATTAAATCAAAGACCTAATATAAATGTAATTATTCACAATGCTGTGAGCTTGGGACAGTTTGTTTTCTTGAGAGAATGACGGGGAAACAAAGAAGGCAGAAAGACGGAACTTTAATCTAGTAGCTGCATCTCTGGCTGACATTGTGGCTGCTCATACTCTAGCCCTAGTTTTACATCTCGATTCATTTTGACACTTCATAAAAACATAAACATGCTATTAGCAAGCCTACCACTGGGTCTTTCACTGTGTCCACCAGACGGATGATATTGGTCCCTCCTCGCAAGTTCTCCAGGATTTTGATCTCTCGCTTGATCTTCTTCTTCTTGACAGGCTAAAACAAGCATGAAAAACAAAACAGCCAGATTTAATAAAAAGATTTAACAGAGCAGTCTCAGAATAAATGAAAAACAGCAGAGGAAAAGATGTCAAATCTGAAAGGTTTGCTGCCCTGCTGCTTCTTCTCATTCCCGCCTCATATCTGCTGACTCTGCTTGCACTGTCGCTGCTGCTGCATTCTTCAGCATCTCTTAGCTTCACTCAGTCTGAGGTTTCCATTTAAGTGACTGTCAGCTAATCCTCATCTGTCACAGGCATCACTCAATTTTTTTTAGCGGTTAGACCTCTTGCACTTAGTCATATAGTTGTTTAGTAACCATGTTAAATAGTGACTACTAACTGTGACAAGACAAAAACGAATCAAACGCAGGGTCTACAGCTAAAAATCTAGATATTTATGCTGTGGCTGTTTTTAAGAAGGGCTCAAATGACTTGGATATGTGAATGTTGTGTACTCAATTAGCTTAATCCACCAGTAGTGAGGCAGCAGTAATAGAGCCAGTCAATCCAAGCCGGTTGTAGTGTTCGCACCACCTACGTCTTACAAATGGAGCTTTGTGTCAGCACCTAATTTAAGGAGTTTGGTTATTTCCCATATTTGCCTTTATTATTAGTTATATTTATTACTGATGTGATGCAAATGTTTGGCAGTTCTCTGCAGCACAGTAACCACACGTCATCATCCTGCTGGAACCAACTTCGTTAATCTTCATCTGGGATTTTCCAAAAGCAGCAGGGGGCTTTGCTCGCTGGCTTAACTGCAGGGCTGCAATTAGCTCCAGATCAGCAGTGATTGAGTGACCCAGAGCTGCCATCACTGGCCCGCTAGCTGTTTAGGCGATCGGGCAGAGCGGCCCAAGTTTGTTTGTTTTTTTCCATCTGGCAAAATGTTTGTCAGGAAAAAACTTTGGACTCTGATGTTGGAGTTTTTTTAATCACTAATTCAACAAACATGTAATCTAAACTTGACAAATGCAGGAAAACTGGAAAGCTAAGGTGCATCTATTTTCAGCTTACACGGTCTCAGCGCATTAGCAGGGTTTAAGACAAAAAATAATCCTTTCACGCTGCCAGAATTTTAAGAATTATGTCTTTGGGTTCATTTAAGCAGCTGGGATGAGAGTCAGCAACACCACGACTGAGGCCAGGTTTCTCTACTGCAAAATGATGGGGGAAGAGTTCCCCCCCCCAAGCGTGGTAGGTGCCTTCCTTTGGTGGTTTTCAGGGAACGCACAACTGACCTAAAACATGCTGGAGAAACTAGACATCTCATCTGGTCTGGGAGCGCCTCAAGATCTTCCAGGAGGAGGTGGAAAATGTACTCAGGCAAAGGGATGTTTGGAATAACCTGCCTAGCCTAGCAAAAGACTAATTATTCAGGAAATACTCAAGACTAAAAAAAACTATGTCTTCATTATTCATTAATTTAACAATTATTTATGCTGGTCAAACTCTGCTTTGAGGTTTTCTTAAAATTCACATTAATTGAAGCAGAAATCTCCACGGCCAAAAACTGCAGTTCCTTAAATGGCCACTTGAGGCCTGTTCCAGAAGTAAATCGATCCCAAAAGGCTTCCATGTTAAATTACCAAACTTTACAGCAAAAATAAGGATGTTTGCTTTGTGCTACAGGAGACTGTTTTGTTCTCAAGAGCTAAAATCCATTTTCATAACAACTATATAGGGGTGAAATGCACCTCAATGCAAAGAGCTGTAGCCAACAGCTCTCTCACCCTCATTTGTGCTGTTGGTTTAGGAGCATTTTAATGGAATGCTCTGATATGGATTTAAATGTGCTATAACAAGTTTATCCCTGAGTTTTGTTGAAATTGTAGTATTTAAGTACTAAAAGCTACTTTTAGCTACTCCCATATTCACAAGGGCTCACTACAGCAGGTAGATCCACATATCTGACTTAATGCAATGCCCGAGAGATTTTTATTTCCTGTTGGGATCGAACTCAGGATCTTTAGCATAGACAAATGCATACACAATTACACAGAATTCTCCCACCTTTTATATACAGTCTGTGTATTTATCTAATAGCTTTTCACAACTGGTGGTATGGTAAGTATAAGGCTCTATTGCAGATATATTTGGCAATAAAATATTATTAAATAATAGTTATTCTTTAAAATGTAATAAAAATGCCCATGATGGCAGTGCTGTCCCAATCAATCTGCTCACCTTCAGGATTTTGACCACCACCTTCTCATTGTTGGTGATGTTGATAGCCTCGAACACTTCGCTGTACTTCCCTCTGCCCAGCTTTCGAACCAGCTGGTAGTCCTCCTGGTTGCTATAGGGACAGCCAGAAAAACAGGAATATGAGGAGAGAGGAATTTTTTTCCAGATACATACAATTAAGCCAGTCTATAAGCTGATTCTAAATGTTCTACCCGCTGACTTCTGGTTCTGATACCAAGCCAAAATGTTATACAAGTCAGGCTGGATAGGTGAAAGAGATGGCGGTAAGGAGGAGGAAAGTGTCAAACAGTGAAGAACAGCAGGCTTGAAGGTCGGGAGACATGGTGTCATCACACCCTCACAGCTAAATTTATAATAATAGACGCCCATCTGCCATATTTCCCCTCCACAGAAATCCCTTATCATACGATTATCATGCACGCTGCAGTAATCAGAAATGTCCTCACTTCCAGTTGGGTACGTGGGCCTCGTAGTCCCAGTACTCGCGGGTCTTCAGCGTGTTGACGTCTGCGTACACACGGGCTTTGCTACCGGCCACCGGACCCGGCATGGCGAGACCCGTGGCTCGGGTGCCGTGGGGCGCCTGTCACGGAGATCTGCTGGGATGTGGATGGCAGACTAAAATGGGGGGGTGGGGTGGAGGGGTTGTATGAATGGGGATAACGTGTGTGGGTGTAAAGCGGAGCTGGCCAGCCAGCTATCGTGCAGAGATAAGCAACCAGAGTCAGAAAAGTGGAGGCAGGAATGATGAGAAAACCAGGGATGTCCGCCGGGAAAAGCCGCAGTCACTGCCCGCCGAGCAGCACTCCTTGGTGGGGTTAACAGAAGCAGCAGAGACGGGGAGGGGGTGGTGGATCTTGGAGTGATTAGCAGCTGAGGTTACACACAGGGACGGGGAAGCATCGGGGCACTGAGGTAGAGAAGAACCGAACCCCTGAAAGGCCACAGAGGGGGCTGGAAAGGAAGTCGGTGGTCTAAAAATTACGGGTCTAAACTCCGAGGCTAACGTTGCTCTTTGCGGGCCCCAAATCCGAGGAGAAACAGGCGGCCTTCCTGCGCTGGTCCGGGAATGAGGGGTGCCCACCGTGGGCCGGTGTTCGCTATCAACCGAAAACCGATGTGATGGATCGACAGCGGGGATCGATCTCGGGGAGAGGAGGGGGTGGAGTAGCGGAGAGATCGATGATGTTAGCTAACGGTAGCCTGCGATGCTACTTGAGCGCGAGGATGTCGCACCGACGGGGAGCGCTCGGCGCCGTGCACCACCATCGGCGGAGACAGCGTCATGTGCGATCGGCTGTGCGGGGTAAGCAGCGTCTCGGAGGCCCGGTGCCACACGCTCACGGAGACCCCACGATTCAAGGGGATTCTTCTGCACCTGCGGACCTCCCCTAGTCGAGAGCGCAGGGAAGGGAAGCGGATTGCGATTGAAGAGGCGCAAGAGAGCCGCCCGGATGTGAAAGCCGCTGGCTGCCGGGGTGAAAATGAGGAACGAGACCTTCCAGTGGATAGCCGGGCCACAGCGCCCCCTGGTGAAAAGGATGTGACGGATTTCTCAACTATTTAAAAACGGAGTGCAAAAGTAAGTAAAACAAAAACAAAAACAAAGCTGGCTCCGGTATGTAACAGGTGTCGTCTCGTCTGTTTGTAAGCAAGGTGCAAAAACTACCTCTCTAAGGCAGAACTCGTTAGATTTTAGTTGCTCCTGTCACTTTCCTAAAACTAGATATGCTCTCGAGCGCACTTGGAAAAATTGTAAAATCTTCACACTTTCACCCAGCAAAGCGCAACCTTGCTCAATTAGAATGTTCTCCAAAATGTGAAAACATTCTAGAGGAAAACCTTTAGGAAGCTTTTCCTGGAGGTTCCCTTAAGTTTGTTTGTTTTTGTTTTGTTTTTTTAAATAACCTTTAGGGAAACATCTGGGAACATTCTTGAAGGTCCCCTGGAGGTTCTACAAAAGCAACCTTCAGTTTTCAGATTGCCACCCTTGCTGTTCACTCTGTTTTAACGAAATTTGTCTCATATGAATTGGAGTTGTCTCAAGTATGAAATACAATTCATTGTTTCTATTTTACCTTTTGAGTTCAACTCTGGCCTTAAATTTGAACTTGGTAGCATGGATTTTCTTAAAGAACATACATATCTCACTATAGTATTTTGTAATAGTTCTACAATAATATTCTCCATTTTTTGTTAATTAATGAGTAATAATAACAACAACCCTGCTATGCTTTCTGTGTTTCTTTCATGTAAGAAAGAAACAGATTAGAACATGATTGAAAAAAAAAATCAGCTATTTCAAACGTAATATTAAATAGTATTTTACATCTGAAGCCGAAAACGTCTGGTAAATTTCATATATTTTCATGGATGAATTCAATATTCATGAGACATATCAAGGCTTCTTTTGTTTTAATTTTAATTATTATTGATTGACAATCAGAAATTCAGTATTAATCAAAAAAAGGATTCCTGATAGAGAAATGTTCCAATTCTAAAGCGTGGTCACTTAGTACTTGGTTGGGGTTCCTTTACCATGAATTATTGCATCAGTGCAGTGTGGCATGGAGGCAATCTCTGCTGAGGTGTTACAGGTTACTTTGATATGAGCCTTCAGCTCATCTGTGTTTTTGGGTTGGGTGTTTCTCATTTTCTTCTGGACAATACTTCACGGAGTTTCTGTGGCGTTCAGGTGATGGTAAACTGGCTGGTCAATCAAGCACAGTAATAACATGGTCACCAAACTATTTGGTAGCAGTTTTGGCATTATGAGTAGAAGCTGAAAGGAAATTGCTGTCTCCATAAAGCTCTTAAGAAGATTTTACTGAATTTCTCTAAAAAGTCTTGGTAGACACTCTATTGACTTTGGAGTTGATCAACCACCAACAACACCACACTGCACCACAAATGATCACACAGTGCAGGACATTCACATGGGACTTCACTACCGCTCTGTTCCTTCATCTAAGAGGAGGTCCACATCCAGATGTTGTTCTCCCTGGCCCAGGTAAGACGCCTCTGACGTCTCTGGTTCAGGAGTGTCTCCTACCATAATAGGGTAGAAGGTGCATAATACCGTTAATATGCTTCCGTACAGCACTCTGCAAACAGCCAGCTGTTTCAGCAAATCGATGATCGTCATCTGGACAGCTGTCGAGTCAGCAGTTTTCCCCATGATTGAAGCTGTATGTGCTGAACTAAACTGAGAATTGTATAACATTTGTAATGTCTGAATGGTAATTGAAATGAAATGGTCTAATAATCTGACACACTGGATTTCCGATTTTTATTTTAACCAAGAAAAACTGTTTTCAGATGGACGTATACAGGTTTTGACACGGTCGAAGGGCTTCTCGGTATCTAACGAGGTGAACGTGCGAATTCCAGGAAGGCTTTAGTTCCAAAATACCGATGGGCTTTGGGCTGTGGCTACAATGTAGCTTGCCATCACCAGTGTGTGGAATGTGTGTGTGAATGGGTGAATGACTGAATGTAGTGTAAACCGCTTTGGGGTCCTTAGGGACTAAGTAAAGCACTATACAAATATAGGCCATTTACCAAATAACTTCATTAATCTTATAGATTTATAAATGGAAAAAAGTTTTATTTGTTAGTGCCGTTTGTAATTGAATGCTACATACATACAGATAATCTTAGCATGAATGTACACGTACTGTATGTCGCCACAAAGTTTTTTTCTTTTCAAAGGTTTGTTTTCAACATCATTCACATGAACTACAGTACAATTTGGGAGGGAGGGGTTGGACAAAAAAAAAGGGAAAAAAAGAAGAAATGATATCTGAGGGAATGGCGCTGTGTGGAGGAAGGGCTTGGTGACACTGGTTCCCAAAGACAGAAACACAGGAACTAACACGGCAAGCATGCAGAGAGCAAGAGACACCAGGGTCTGACGGGGTTATTTATTGGAACTGAAAAGGAAACAGTAAACAACGGGTGGGTTAACTGGTGCCTTTACTGGCCTTTCACTGCAGGAGGGTAGGGAGTAATCATTTGTGCTTGTACAAAATGTTTTCCTCTGTTTGCTCATCAGATACGACAAATTTTTAAAAACCCACCCACCCCACTTGATTTTGAAGATTTCCTCGCTGTAACTTTTGGTCCGACCCAAACAGTACTCTACGACATAAAAAAAATGAACAAAAAAGAAATAAAATAATGCATCCAGGCAGCCAAGGTCAGGAGTACTAATCACTGTAACAGTGCTGCTTGGCTGGCATTAGGTTAATCTTTGGCTTGGAACATACATTTGTATGTTGTTGTTATTATTATTAATACACATAAGTGAGGTCATTATTCTGCAACTTGAGCGACTATTTTCTATTATACACATCTAATGATGTGTCAGCACCGATCAACTAGTCCTTGCACACTTGCGTTTCTTGGCAAAATATGAACCCAGCCCCAATGATTCCTGATGTGTGTGTGTGTGTGTCATAGTAATTCTGCATTTCCAAAGCTGTGGCACACCTACCCCAAGGCCCTGGTCTCTCCCTCCAGGAATACAGATATTCATATCAATTCAAATAACATTAATTAAAAAACAAACAAACAAACAACTTACAGTACTTTTGTTTTTTAAACCTCAAATCCACCTTGTTCTGAACATCGTTCAATACCAGATTCATAAAAGTAAAAAAATAATTAATGATAATAATAATAATAATAATAATAATGATGATGGTGGATAGAAACAGAAAGGAGTAGATGAGGCAGAGAGGCACCGCGGCCCCACTTTTAAGGCGAAAACAAAAAGAAAAGAACTGCAAGCTAGAATTTAAAAAAATAAAGTTACTTCTGTCTCCTCAGTGTGTACTCGGTTCTTTTCAATACTGCACTCAAACCATGAATCGAGCATTCACGGCGTTCACACCCAACATGTAAACTAACTGGTGTTCCAGGACCCTTAAGCACAACTACAATCTCATAGCTTTCAGAGGAGAGGAAGGAGCCAATCTCTCTGGTAATAAACCCACCCTGACAGACACGACGTCGTACGTAGCAGGACAAACAGATTTAACAGGTCTTTCAAACCGTGGAAATTATTCAACACATGCTGCAGGACAGTCCCGCAGAAACAGCTCTCACAAAGACCAGTACAGTTAGTAATAACAACAGTAATAACAAAGAAATAGAAAAAGGCAGGTTGGTTGAAATAATTCTACTACAATTCACTTCAGTCTGAATTTCCCTGTTTGACAGAACACCGTTTACATTCACGCATTCAGACTCATGTGCGGGTTTCTCTTTGAGACTCCTCGCGACGCACTGGCACAGTCACTACATGGACTACAAAAATGAAAACGAAATACAAAAAAAAAAAAGAAAGAAAAAAAAAGCATTTTTCATAACATTTCACGTGGTAAAAAGTAGCAAGAATACAAAAACAGCTCTTCAATACCTATTTTCATAAGAAAGACATTTCCGACTCATCTGGCTAAGCACACCCACACATCCAGAGTTATATACAGGATGAGGATGAGAGACTTTGACACTTTTAAATGCACGACAGCACTGACCTCTGCAGGAATAGTACATTAGTGTGAAATATATTTTTCTGTATTGAAGGATTAGAACAGCTGAAGCTTTTGCAGACTTAAATTTGGGCTGGCTGATTAGTCTACACACCACAGGGTGTAGCTTTATACTGTTCACACATAGAATTATTTAACCGTAGGACAACGCATTCCCAAATCCCCAATGCCGTTTCACTTCACATACACCGATCAGCCATAACATTAAAACCACCAGCCTAATATTGCATTAGAGCCTCTCGTGGAGCCAAAAAAAGCTCTGACATTGGCAGCAGATCTTTGGGGGCCTGTGGTGCCTCTGTGGATAGAATTTGTTCCAACACACTGGGTCAACACCTTTGGCTGCTATGTTATTGCTAATTGGTGTAAAATGAGGCCTTCACTGGCCACTTCTTTAATAAGAAGAGTAAAAATAAAAATGGAGGTTAAGGATACCCAAAGCATTTCAGACCACTCTTTACCCAAAGATATTAAAGTGAGTGCATGCGTGTCTTGGAGGGCGGTATGGAAAGTCACACTTTGCAAACTTCTGATACTAAACAGTGACAGGCTGAGTCAGGAAGAGCAGGAAGCAGAGGAAAGATGTAGGTAATAATGAGAGGGGGAGAAACTGAAGGGAGGCCAAGAGCAGTCATCACAAACCCATTGCAGACATGCAGTTTTTTTCCATTAAACTGACACCATCGAAATGAGTAAACTTCATGTAAATGAGCACTCGGGTCACTTTTATGTAAAAGTCGCAATGGCAATCCTACAAGATCAGACCTCGTAAACTCTTAAGTATCAGTTTTGATACAGGACAAGTGGACACGTTAACTGAGATTACACACGTGACTTCCTGAATTCCTCAGTTCATTGTGTGCAAAACATTTGATCTCTTTAAGTCAAATTCTAGTTTCTAGAATTCTAGTTAAATAATTCCTCTGTGATGCTCTTCT